TCATTGTTTGAATATTTTTCATATTTTTCCTGTAATTCCTTTACCCTTTTGCTTCCCCAGCTTCATGGAGTATTTTGTTTCCAGTGCAGTCGACACATACTGTGAGAAAGTCTAGATAATCCAAAATGGGCCTTTTAAGGTGAATTTGTTTGCTGCTTCTACATTTAAAGCACAAAATCCAGAGCTGCTTTTTCTATCATCAGAAGTGTTGCTCCACAGGAACTGCTAGCACTGCCACACTGCCTGCTTCACAGTGTGGGGTCTCAGCCAGTAGCACCTTGGGAGTCTCATGCCTGTTATTCCACCACACAATGTAAGAACACTGAAAACCTTTGTAGGAAACTGTGAGAGCTGGGAGAACAAAGGTGGGAGGATTCTTCCTTTTATGTCTTTCACTAAAAGGCTTAGTGGGGACTTAAGACTATCAAACTGTGGTATTTTCTCTGTAGTTTCCTTTGGGGTATTTTGGTGTTTTGGCCCAGTCTTAAGTGTCCAGCTATAAACATTTCAAAATGACAGTCTGATACAGAACTAACATCTCTGTACAAGGCCTTGATCTGTAGGCACTACAGACTTACCTGGGCAAGTCGGAGGGACAGCTTGTATTTTACTTGTCCTGAGAGCTGTGAAACTCAAGGTGCTGCATGGTTAGTCTATGAGTTCTGCTGAGCACTGTGCTCCTTCCTACACTGTGTTAAATGACATAAAGAGCAATTTCTAAAGGAAGTCAAACTGAAGAAATCGTATTAAATGCGCAAAAAATAAGAATTTCATTGAAAGAGAAACATGATAGACTGTGTTATTTCCTGCTGACACAGACAATTCTTTTCTTGCTTATATTGGATATACTCTGTGGAAAGATTTATAAGGTGAATACACATGAGTAATGTCAGAAATGTATCAATGATGCGATAAAAATATTGTTAGATATGGATATTTTGGAGAAAACAATCTCTAAAATTTCTCATTGACAAGCTGTGCTTTTGTATAAAAACTTTTTTTTGTTTCCATTTTCTGGAAAAAAAAAAAGAGCCAGAAAAAAAAAATAAACAAAATCTTCTAGTTTTATACTGAGTAAAAAAAATTAAACCAAGAGAAAGGTGAAGGAAAAACCTTTCTGTTTTTCCGAAAGAGAAATTATTTGGTACCAGGATTTGATGAGCCCTAATTTTTGGTTCAGTGGATTTCCTGCTGATTTGGCCTGGTGTCAGAGAGCATTAGAAAAAAAACTGCCTCTCTTAAATTCCTTTAAGACTCTGAATAAGTTTTAAATATAAAATTTATAAATATTATATATGTCCCTCTGCACAGGACATGGTATCACACCGGGTCATTTAGATCAAGTCATCTCTAGAGTTTGCCCTCTGCTGTCCCCAAGCATTTTGTCCAGGAAGAGCACTGGGCTGTCTCATAGAAATGATCTCCAGAGGCTGAGTTTTAACTTCAGAAGATCAATCATCCAGCTCTGCCTTGCTGTGAGTACATGAGCTCACAATGACTCACCAGAGCCTGCTCAGCAAAAGGTCTCTCAGTAGCACACGCTGCCAGGAAATGCTGGGCTCTGTGGTGCTTCCTCCAGTGCTGCCCACCTACCTGTGGGATGGAGCTGGGCATGGAGGGCTTCCTCCTCTCCCACTTACTGTCATGTCACTAGTTTCCCATCACAGGCCCTTTCAGTATTACACAGTTCAAGCAGTTTGAGATGTTTAATCACAAACCTCTTTGATCTGAGGAATGTGCCTGTGTATGTTATAGGAACTTTTGCTTTATGTTTACTGACCCAAATCAATCCTAGCTTGCAAATTGAAAGAGATGGAGCCTGAAATCTGGCAAGTTGTTTTTTGGGGTTTTGTTTGTTTGTTTGTTTGTTTTAGTGTTTTTTTGTTTGGTTTTTTTTCCCTTCTGAACAGTCTGCTTTGCTTGGGTAAAAAGGGCTTGCGTACTGACTTTTAGTCAGAAATTGAAAAACGCAATTACTAGAAAAATGCAAAGATTTCAGTGATGGTACCCTGGTCCTTTCCTTTCTAAAAAAAAAAAAAAAAAAAAAAAGAGGCATAATGCTGGGGCAGCAGTGCCCCACAAAAGGCAGTGTTCAGAGGGGCTTGTGATGAATGCTGCTCATCTTCCTGAACAAACACAGACCTGTCCCCTGGAGTCCCTTCCTGACATATAATTGGTAACAGCTCAGTGCAAGGAGGTAGAGGGGGCATCATCCCTGTGGGCTGCTCACATCCTTCCCATGCCCTCTCCCTCCATATCCTGAACTCATGGGGGATGTTGAAATCAGGACCTTTGTAGCAGCCTCAGTTCCCTACACCTTTGCAGCCTCACTTGCTCTCATTTCTGCTTTAAGGTGTGAACATCTATTGACTGATGGTGTTGTCAGCATTCTGAGGGTTATGTGTGCAAGATTTTGGGGAGATGTAATAAGTTAGCACTTGTTATTCTTTAGAAATGTACAGTCCCCGTTTTGGTAGGCAGATGTCATGAAGCCAGGAGTCCTCCAGGACATGTTAAGGGATGTGTCTGGAGATCATGGTGCTCTGCCTGGCTCTGCTGTTGACTTGTGTGTGGCAAACCACTTCCCAGCTCACTCACCTCATGCTGCTATCTGCTAGAACCTACTTCAAATGCAGGAGAGAAGCAGATACTACAAACAGCACAGTGTAACACCTGCATTTTTACATATGTCAGAAAGCTTAGTGCAGGTGCCCTGAAAATGTGGAGTTTTTTAAACAGCTCCCTCTGCTTCAAAATGTCAAACAAACCTAAATTAACTCAGCAAGTCATATTAACCACATAGAACATATACATATGCAGGGGATGTAAACTTCATTATCTGTTCAGGCTTTCTGTCAGCAACACATCTGAAAGCAAAATGTGCTGTCAAATCATGTATTCTAATGACCTGCGGACTTCCCCATTTCCCAGGAAGATGAATTTGAGTGTACGAGCATGGTTTCTAATAAACACACTGACAGCAAAGATGATGGTAAAAGGAAGTGCAACTTACCTTTTTTTTGTTCCAAAGGAAAGTACAGTGACTCATGTGTCAAAGGAACATGCTAATTCAAGACAGTCTGTGCTCTTTTCAGTGACCACCAAAGCCTCTCCCCAGTCAGGGACACCTAGTGACAATTAATTACTCTTGCATGCACATGGTCTGTAGACTTACACAAGCAGGCATCAACATGTTTGTCCTTATGAAAACATGAATATGTGATTTAAAATCTATGCTGGAAATTTACCTTGAAATATGAAATTGGATTTTCAGTATCAGAGACAGACATTACAAACTTTTTTTTTTTTTAATGGCCAAACTCAAAGGCCTGATGATGCAACGGAAGAATATGTGGGTTTGAAGGAAATTTGTATTTCTCAGTTAAACTCTTTTCAAGCAATTAATTGATATTCACACCAGAATGAAATTTTTCAGATCTGGAAGTTATCTGGGAAGAGCTTTTACCTATAGGCAAGCCTGAAACTGAGGGGCATAGAGGCCCCAGTAGAGTATACACGTCCATGGACTTCTGTACATGAAGCTCCATAATGAAAATAATGTGGCTGGATGATCTCATAAGTCATTCTTCCTCACTTAACTGGAAAATTAGAGTTCTCATTTCTCTCTGCCCTTTGCAGCCCCCCAAGGTATCACAGTTTGTATGGGCATTATTTTCTCACTGGTACACACAGGTATTTCTCAGATGGCACTGTCCTGATGCCTCCGGGCATTGTGCTTCTGCCCAAGTGCAGAAAGGAAGATGAGCTGTGCTTATTTTCCTGGCACTGCTCATGGCTGAAAGGGACAATGTGTGCGGCCTCTGCAAGGGCTGCATGTGCACGTGTCCGCTCCTTGCTGCGTGCCCCTTTGGTCATGGAATCATAGAATCATTAAGGTTGGAAAATACTTCTAAGATCAAATGTACAGGGCTAAATATAGGACAGCCACCCTTGTTTTAAAGTGATCTGTTCTTTTATGAACCGTGTTCAAAGCAACTCTTCTTGAGGGCATCTGAATCTTACTTGAAGGCATATGTACCAAGTCCAGGTTTTCAGCTCATGGGACTGACATCTCTGTTTTCGGTGCACAGGGTGGGAATTTGTGTGTACAACCACAGCAGATGAGTAGATCAGGCAGACAGAGCCATGAACCACTTTTCTTTCAATAGGCCTATGGGGCTGGTGAGCAAATGGAAGTATCACTGTAAATATCCAAGGAAAAGAAAATAGAGTTACAACTCTCAGAGCAGTGTTGAGTGAACTGAATGTTTTATAAGAGATGTTTCAGGATATAAACAACAAGGGCTTAATGTATTAATATATATCTTTGGGAAATAATCTGTCAGTACATCATGGACCAGACCCTTGGCTGACATAACCTGACATGGCTCCAATGAACTCATTCTCAGTTTTCAACAAGTAAATATCTAAGATTTTTAATTATACACATCTCTGGCCAGTATAAACCTACATGATCTAAGGATGCCTTGATCTTGTGTGTGCCATTATAATGTGGACTCTTGGACTCTACAGGTGTCAAAAATGGTTTTTTGGATCATGTACCAAAATTGGGAGAACGAAAACCTTCACCACCAGATAGGCACAAGGGCAGATTTCATGACTGCATTTGTCACTGTTGTCTAAAATACTTTAGATCTGTCTGGCACACTTAGATTGGAGTAGATCTGGAGCAAAGGGGCTTTACCAACTACAGCTCTGGCTACCTCCCTCCCTCATCACACCTGTAAGGGGAAGGGTATCTGTGATGAACAGGAGGCAGCAGTGCTAAAAAAACGTTGATGGCAAGGGTGGTGATGGCAGGGAGATTCACCACTTACAGCCTATTTGCCTACAGTTCTGCACAGCTTAATTGACGAAAAAAAGCCCAGAGGAGCTTTCTGAACTAAGCAATGCTTACCTGCTTGTTGTCTTCAAGCAATTAAATGATTTCTTTGGTATCATCTAATGATTTTTTTTTTTTTTGTCTCTGCTTCTTTCAGCTTCAAGGCTCCTTGAAGAGAAAGTTGGTGGTAAATCTGTCGCCTGTCAACAAGAGGCCCAATGGTGTTTCAGAGAGTTCTTTCCTTGATATTAAGAGGATAAGAGTGGGTGACAATATCCCAGTGGGACAAGGTGGACAACATGTTAACAATTGCCAAAGCCAGTCAATGTCAGGAGCTATGACTGTAGGGCAAGGATCACAAAGAAAGGCCAGCAGCCTAGCAAACAATACCCATGCTAGTGGGAATGATATGTTTAATATGACTTTGAAAGAGGTAAAGAAAGAACCAGGAGAAACAATGTCCTGCAGCAAACACTTAGATGGCCAGACATCCCATGAGAACATGTTCCCTAACAGATATGGGGAAGACTCATGGGACCAAATGATGGATCTTGAACTTCAGGAACTGTTTAATGAGCTGACTAACATATCGGTGCCACCAATGAGTGATGTTGAGCTAGAGAATATGATAAATGCCACGATAAAACAAGATGAGCCATTCAACATTGACCTTGGGCAGCAGAGCCAGAGGGGCCCTGTGAGATCTCTGCAGATGGATAAGATGGTGATAAAAAGTGAGTATGCAGCAGGCATTAATCAGGCTCCTGTGGGCTCCCCACAGATGAGGCCTTCTTCTACAGGTCCAGCCTTCACTATGGCTACCACTGCCATGTCTGCCTCTTCACCCATCCCCTCGGTGCCTCAAACACAGGTGTCGCAGGTTTCTTCTGCGTCCAGTCGGCCATTGCCTAACTGGCAGGAGGTGTCTCATGCACAGCAGCTCAAACAGATCGCAGCCAATCGGCAGCAGCATGCCTTGATTCAGCAGCAACAGCAGCAGCAGAACCAGACAGCCAACTGGTCCACTCTGTCTCCATCAGGACCTTCCCCTGGACCCTTTGTGCAGGAGAAAATCCCCAGTCCCTCTTTTCGCCAGCAGCAGTTCAGCCCACAAAGCTCAGCGATGCTTGGGGTGCCAGTGAATGGAAACCAGACAAAAGGGATGAACAACTATGTTTATAAACCAACCACTCCCCAGAGCAATCCCATGGACATAATCATGCAACAGAAGCCTCAGGACCTCAACAGAAACTTTAGTGCTCAGCCACCTCTAGAGCAGCATCATGGCAACACAAAGCCTTTGTTTCACTTTAACTCAGAGCAAACAAACCAGCAGATGCCTTCGGTTTTGGGTTCCCAAAACAAGCCTGCCCTTCTGCACTACACCCAGCAGGCACAGGGTTCAGGTCCCGTGCAGCAGCCACAGCAACAGCAGCAACAACAGCCGCAGCCGCAAACTGCTCAGCCTCTCCCAAACCAGTCTCTCCAGAGGCCACCTAATGTAACCCTAGCAATGCAGCAAAAAATGATGCTTCAGAAAATGCAGCAAAGCCAGCAAATCTCAGGTTTGCAGTATCCAGTCTCTCAGCAGCACAGACAGGTAAGACAAATTCCTCCTTCTTTGCTACAGAATTGTTCTGGTCCAAGTACTAAAAAGGCTTTTCCAGCCTGGCCTCATTGCTGCAGGAGATGTGTCCTGGTGGCACTTAATGACCCTCTCAGCATGCACTTCTGCAGAGCTGGTGATGGCACATTTAGCACCTATTCAGGTGTATCATGGATGCACATTTAGAAGAATTTCAAGAAGCACATGCTCATAACCCTTTTCTCTTTATGCAGTGGAATGAATATGTCACTGCTATATATTATGTAGATACTTGTCAGAAAGGTGAGATAGTAGTGCAGATGCAAGTGTATTTTGGACTCCCATTTAAGATTTTCTAGCTTACAAAAATTTAGGGTCTATTAAAAGCCAAAATTTTAATGAATTCCTATGTTATCTTAGACAATGTGTTTTACAATGTTAATTTTTATGCCATCATTTTTCTCAGGGAGGCAGGGTTAGGAAATTTTTTTTTAGATATCTTTTGACTGATATGACAAAAAAGACTGTTTGCACATTTGCTATCACTTTGGCAAAGAAAAAACTAAGATTTATCTGTGAGCTTTCTAAACACCCATCACAATTCTGGGAATATTCTGTGCATAAAATACATGCTTAGAGATTAAGGAGAAGTTTGCCACAGATATGTCTACAATTATATTCCGCGTAGCCAGCTCCCACTGTGTTATCATGAGACAGTACTCTGACAAGATCTGCTGCTTTAGCCTAGTTGTGCTATGTCAAGTCTCTGTGCACCGAGGTCTCAGACCCCAACTTCCAGACCTGCCAATCAAAGTAAGAATGTGCAAACTTGCTGTAGCCTAAAGTCTGGAAACCAGGTGCAAAACAAGCAAAACATATTTGACCTTGGAATGTTTAGGTAACTTTGTGTAATTTAGGTGGGATTTCATCTCAGCATATTTGAAGATATGCAATTGCAGTATAGGTGTGGAGATGATTTGTAGATGTGAAAAATGCTTTAAGAAGCTACCTAAAAATGAAAGCCTAAATTTTCCATGGACTCTCAGAAAGTAGCACTGTGAACGAATCACTCCAAGCTGGAATTTCTTCTCCAAACTGGATGAAGAGGCTGATGCTTTAAAAAGAGTAAATTCAGTTGTATGCCTGCACACCTTCTCCTTTTAATTGTCTTAAATTTCCTGAGCAACTTACCATGACTTACTCCAACAAGTCCCTTAGCAAGAGGTACCAGGTGAAACCTATGGGCAGGTGTGAGAAATTACTTTGTTGAAAGATGCTTTAGAATGAGTGTTTGCAGGATGCAAGCAGAGCTTTGCTGTTTTATGGGAGGTGTCTGCAAGCTGCTTCTCCTTGAGCCACTGGGTGCTCTCTTCTTAGGTGCATTTGCCCATTCTCTTAATAGATAAATTTTAACAGTTTCTTCATTCAACCATGGTGAAACTTCCAGCAATCTGCCATCACAGGGGAGACAGACAGGACTTCTGCAAACACTACTGTTTTTCTGAAAAAAACCTGTGAGGTCACATTATGGAAAGGCATAAAAACATGAGAGCAGCTCTGCTTGAGGTAATATTAACTATTTGCTCTGTGTCCTCTTGGGCTGCTGCTCAGGGAGGCCAGCCAACAGGATGATACTTGGCACCTTGGTCCTAGTAGTACTTGCAAGATTTACCATGAGTGTAGCAGGATTTCTCACCTGTGAGGCCACAAGAACTTTGGTTTACGAAACTTGTCCTAAGTGAACTTTGCTGAGTGCCAAACTTTAGATATCACACCAAGGAAGGGGTTTTGCCTGTCACACAGACTTCCTTCTGCCAACTAATTTTCCAATGTTTTTTGTCATCTGACCACTTCCCACAGCTGTTTCTGCAAGATGTGGCTACCTGACCCACAGCACAGTTGAGAAACTTGGAAGCTTTTTAGACAGAGATTATGGGGCTTTTGCAGTAAGAATGCTGGTTTTCTATGCTCTAGAGAGATAACTGGTTATTTTTTTAGAGATCCTTAGCAGATATTCCAAAGTGCTGATGAAGTTCAGAATATCAATTATGTCTCGCTCAATTAGAGTATTTTGTAGTTACTGGAACAATACTTAGAAATATAATTGGTCCATGAATTACAGGGTTTTTAAAAAGTTTGAATGTAACCCTTTACCTGGCAGTATTTATGAGTCCTGTAGACCCTTTAGCACCTGCCTCCACTGCTGCAAGAGCCCACCAACCCCTTGGACAGGGTCTACTTGCCACATAAATCTAGCTATTAAATCAGAGGGGCAGGAGACACTGCTAGTATTAGCTTCCAGTAAAGACAACAAAGGTCAAAGCGACCTTGTGGGTCGACTGCTGCTGATTTTAGCAATGGGGACATTACCTCATTTAGGCTGCATAGCCTGCTTTCCTGAAGGATCATCTCCCACCTCTGAGTATTTCTACACATCATTAAAAGTAATGCATGATTAATTACCAGCATTTACTAATTAACTTCATGATTAATATTTGTTTTACTCATGCTCTATTTCTGCATGAGGGATCAAGATTTAATTCTGCTTGGTATCATTCAACTCCTCCTCAGATCATTATAAGACCATCTCACAACTCACTGCAATGCTTTGTAGCTGGTAATGTGAGGGCACATTCACAAAGGACTGTGGTGACACTGCCATCAGAAATCACTAACTGGAACACTGTAAGTTCATATTTTTAGCAGAACTAGCTCACTCTCTGGATTTTTTGCTCCCCAAGCTTTAAGATCCCCAATAGCCATCTGAGCTTGATTTTGTCAGTCCAAACTGGCTAACTGGAAATGTAAGGCTTATAATTTCTCTGCTTGTCATATTCCCTGTATGTCAAATCAAAACAGACTTACAGAGGGATTTGCTAATTAGATGTCTTTTGCCTCTAGGGAAAAGTCATAAAAATGATGGAAATCATCTTGGTTTCCTGGAAGGTTGATCTGAATGAAGGGTTTGTTTGCCTCTCTCCTTTATTCTCCATTGTTCTGGGAAAGATTCCTTTGTATTGTCTATCTGAATGTAACATACACAGTCATGAAAAAACTCATGGAAATTCAACACTCTCTTTGTTTAGGAAAGACTTAGAAGCTCCAAATTCTATACAGGTTTAATCAGGTTTGTGATACTTCTACAGAGGCTCAGCTGAAAAACTGTGACTGGGCCTGGGTAGAAGTCTAACTTTACCCTTTTGAAGTATGTAGTGCAGTCAGTGAGAGATGCTTCTGAAATAAGACTTAAGATTTTTGAACTGAAGACTTGATGATTTTAGCTACTCCAAGAAATTCCACACACATTTTCAAAGTTTTTAATCAGCCAATATATGTGTTCAATAACATCTATTACTTTTCTGTGAAGAATTAAAAATAAAACAAATAAACAAACAAAAACAACAACAACAACAACAAAAATAAGCCTGTATCTACTAAATAAAATATTATTCATCCCCTTCTGGTTTTGACCTAAAGCCAAATTAAACTCAAGGATTTCAAGTTGAATGTTTCTCCAATTGTTTTTATTCAACTTCATTTGCTCAAGGGAAGGGAGAATAGAAGGCTGAGCTCATGAGAACAGGAACCCTAACAGAGCAAGGCCACTCCATCTGCTACATGTGGGCATGTGTCCTATTTAGTCTTGGCTTTGGAGGCAAGGATAACACAAGGGATCGTGAGAGCTTCACCTCCCACTTTACATGAACAACCAGTAGTCCATATTTTCTGAGGCTCTGAATACATCAGTGTAGATACAACCCGCAGCAGTGTTTGCTTGTGGAAAACTCAGGTCCTTGTTAATCCTTGTTCTTTAAGAGATGCTTTGAGGATGGGATCACCCTCTCCATTTTCACATCTCTACACTCTTTTTCAATAACCCAAGAATTGTGATTAGTCACAGTTTAAGGGGTAGTGGTGGTATTTGCCTTTACTTGTCCAAATTAGAGCACACCTTAGATCGTTTTCTTTATCAGATCTTATCAGGCTCCTTTAAGTCCAACCAGTCTTCCTTCCTACTGAATACTGAGCAGCCCCTTCTCCAGTACCAGCCCCTAGCATGTTTTCCCTGCAGGATTACTGATCATCACTGCACCAAGGGATGTGCCACCACAGAGGAGCTCTGGGTGTTGATGTGATCCCCTCCTTGCAAAACCATTTCATTACACCAGCCCTTCCAACGCTCACAGCTTAATATGCATTCATCATCTGAAATATCTCCAAGGGACAGAGGTGGTATTTCAACTAAACTGGCAGCTCTGCAGAGACCCTGAAACAGATTCTTCTCTCATTTTCTCCAGTGTAAACCCAGGGAAATTTCATTTATTTTCAGGAGAGTGTAACTGAACTCACAGTAGCACAGTAAGAAGCAGAATATGACCGTCTACCTTTTTTTTTTTTTTTTTTTTAAAGCATGGGCACCATGTGGATTCAATAAAAAGTATATGTTAAACTCTCATATAGTTAGGATGCAAGGTGAGGAAGGAGCACCATGACCAAAATAGCTAATGTCATTTTTGAAAGTGCAAATATAAAAAAACTGTTATTGCCATTCACTGCTGAGTAGTAACTTACATTTCTAATTTAGCCCCTAAAATTTCTCACAGAAAATGTGTGTTCTTTATCAAATGAGTATTTTCCTAAACCTCTGTTTTAACCACTATGGAAGAAAAGAAGAACACATTTTGGTGAGGTAACCTCTCTCATTTCAAGTGTGAAGGAGGTATTTTACAAATATTTGTGAAATTAAGAGAGAAACCCTAGAGTAGCTCTTGGTAATTGGTACAAAGCAGGACTTGAATTTGACTTAGATCATAAATGACAATGATTCCAGGCTTTTGGAATCTGTAATAATAGAAACTGTTCCATAGTGTAAGAAAATAACAATGTGACCTTTCACTCAAAGCTCTCTATAAAAATAATATTTAGATGACAGCTTTTCTTGATAGCTCCATTTTGGTCACATTCCCTCATACAAGGACTTCTGAATTAAATACTCTGGATAAAAATTTGAGCAT